TAAAACATTATGACTTTTTAGAATATCTGGTCCTTTCTGTAAGGCTGAGAGAAAAAGAAGAACTCATACCTTTGTTCACTTTATTAGTTACTACAATTTTATCAACCTATTAATCTTTGCCAAGGACCAACATTTTGGATTCTTTGACTCTATTTCATATTTGTTTTCTATTTTATTAAATTCTTGCATTATTTTTTATTTTTCTTTCTTACATGTTTTGTCCACTTTCTAACTTCTTGAGATCAGTATTTAGCTAATTCTTCTTTCATACATGAGGGGTTTTTTTAATATTTTATTTATTTATTTGACAGAGATCACAAGTAGGCAGAGAGGCAGGCAGAGAGAGAGAGGAGGAAGCAGGCTCTCTGCTAAGCAGAGAGCCCGATGCGGGGCTCGATGCCAGGACCCTGAGATCATGACCTGAGCTGAAGGCAGAGGCTTAACCCACTGAGCCACCCAGGTGCCCCCATACATGAGTTTATTTAATATGATGAATTTCACAATGAGAAGTGATTTACCCATACCCAATAAGTTTGATATAAGGATTATCAGTATCTTTCAGGTTAAAGTATTTTAGTCATTATCATAAGTCTTCTTAGACCCATAGTATTTTTTTAGAAGTGGAATTTTTAAATTATATTTGGGGATTTCCATTTATCCTTTCATTATAGTTTCTTAACATGTATCAAAGTAAACCACGCTTTGCTTGATTGAAATCCTTTGAGCCCAAAAAATATTTTTTCTACCATATTTTAGCACAATTATCTAGATAGTAAATAACTATTTGTTTAGTTTTGCTAATCATGATGCTCAAATCTTCAATATTCATTTTACAGGTTCAATCTAGCAAATTGTCACAGAGTATTGTAAATGTTTCTTTATAATTGTAGTCTTCTCTATTCTTATACTTATTCCCATTTTTGCTTATTTGAGTCTATATTTTGGAAAAAGTTTTAAAAGTTAACAAAAATTAACAGCTTTAAATCCTCCTGAAAACTGGGATTTTCATTATTTTCTGCATCATTCTTCATCTCTAGGCATACTTTCTTTCTTTCTTAATATATTTTTCATATGGTACTATATATTACACAATACATAGGTTTGCACATATTATAATATTCCTATTACTTCTCTGCTTTGCTCTCATCTAAACCATTGGCATTCAAAATGGTTATCAATACATTGAGGTCAATATCTACCATATTTGTTACTGTTTTCTGTTTGTTGCTCTTGTTTTTTGTTCCTATTTTTGCCTTCCTCTCTCTTTCTGCCTTTTTGTGGTTTTAACCTAGCTTTTTATGATTCTATTTTTCTCTCCTTTCTTTGCATATGGGTGTTTTTTTCTTCACTTTTTAGCAGTTGCTCTAGAATTTTGGGGTTTTTTTTTTAAGATTTTATTTATTTATCTGAGAGATGGAAAGAGAGAGGCATGTGGAGGGAGAAATGGGCTCCCTGCTCAGCAGAGAGCCCAACCTGGGGTTCGATCCCAGGATCCTAAAATCATGACTCAAGCCAAAGACAGCCACTTTAACTAACTGAGCCACCTAGGCATCCCTGTTCTAGAGTTCATGATATACGTTTACAACTTATCCAAATCTCCTTTCAAATAATATTATATTTTACCACTTCACAAGTAGTGTACTTTAAAATAAGAAAATAAGCCTAATTCCTCCTCCCCATTCCTTGTGTTGCTGCTGTCATTCTCTTATGTACATAAATATACATAGCATATATCTATATCTATATCCATATATATAATGCATACCAAGATATATACATAAGCATATGTAACCAAATATATTGTTGGCACTGTAATTCTGAACAAACTGTTCTCTTAGATTAATTATGAATAAGAAAAATCAACACACATGTCTTTTTCAGCTGAAAAAATTCAGTCAGCAGATATCAAAACTGAAACTGCTTTACCTTGTGCTCTCTGGAAGGGCTAGTGCATCCATAACTTTTTGTTTTTCACAATGTGTAGCAGAATGTTAAAATGAGACTTTTCCTAAGAACTTCAAATAAGTTCAGAAGCTGAATACACTAGGTGCCAAATAAAAACATTTCTAAAACAACATGATAGGCTATTATTTTTTGGAGTTAAATGAATAGTACATGAAAAACACTTTGTCTTTGTTAAATAAAACTTCCTTATCCTCCACCAGTTTAGGAAAACATTTTTAATGATTCTTCCTTTGCCAATATTGTGCTCCTGTTACTTAGAGTTACAAAATATAAAAGATTTTTTGCTTTGAAGTAATTATAAACAAGGAAAACTTAAAGAAAGGCTCCAAATTTATTTTTTTCTTTCATTGCTAAATACTAATAAAAACATTTTTTTCAAGATTTTATTTATTTATTTGTCAGAGTGAGAAAGAGCATAAGCAGGGTGCAAGTGAGTGGCAGGTGGAGGGAGAGGGAGAAGCAGGTTCCTCACTGAGCAAGGAGACTAATGAGGGACTGATTCCAGGACTCTGGGATCATGACCTGAGCCAAAAGCAGACACTTAACCAACTGAGCCACCCAGGCATCCCTAATAAAAACATTTTGCTATAAGAAATATTATATCGTGGGGCACCTGGGTGGCTCAGTGGGTTAAGCCTCTGCCTTCAGCTCAGGTCATGATCTCAGCATCCTGGGATCAAGCCCTGCATCAGGCTCTCTACTCAGCTAGGAGCCTGCTTCCCCCTCTCTCTCTGCCTGCCTTTCTGTCTACTTGTGATCTCTCTCTCTCTGTGTGTCAAATAAATAAATAAAAATTAAAAAAAAGAAAAGAAATATTATATCGTGAATAAGATTGAGAGCAGGAGCAAGTTGGATGTGTGCCATTAAAGAACTTACACCACACAAAAGATGGTATAAAAAGAATGATGGGTTCAACTCTCAAAATGGTCAACTTTAATTTTAAAACTTAAAAAAAAAATCTGGCACTATAACAGACTTTCAACTCTAAATATTGTAAGATTCTATGGTATAAGATGAGTTGAAGACGACTCTTCTAGATATTGTATTTTTCTCGCTGTTCTTACAGCTAACAGTGGCCATATGATTATGTTTGTATATGAAATAAGTATAGAAGTATAGTTTTGTCATTCGAAAGTCAGGGCCAGAGAACTTCGAGCTTATAATCCACCAGTCCCTTTTTTCCCTCCTATTGTACCATCACAGATGTAGCAGCCATCAATGTTTGACCTTGCAAACGAGTACATGCCTTAGTGGTAGAGAAGAAACCTGCACCTTGAATGATCTGGTGGAGCATTGTTTCCATACAAACTTACAGTGGAAGGACTCTAAAATCTTTAAATTGTTCAATAGCCTCCAAAGTGATCTCTGTCTCCAGTATCCCCACTTTATAGTCTCTCTCCTGCTCAGAGGGATAGGTGATAACGCTGAACTTTAAAGCATGTCTGATAACACTTAAGACTTCACTGGGTCTGACCAAGATCCCAGCTATCTTTCAACCTCATCCTCAATGCTATCAGGACCCTGGATGATTCTTAGTATTGCTCACTACCATTGTATATTTGCTAATTTATTTCCTTTGTTTTAAAATACATTTTGTCTAGTCTTTCCTCAATTAAATCTGAGTCATTCTTCAAGATCTAAAAGTAATGCTACCTCCTCTGTGAGGCCATCTAAAATCCTTCTGAATATAAACAATTGTTGCTTTTGCAGACAACCAAGTAGTTAATTTGTAACATTACTTAACACCCAACACATCTTATTTTATGTTACAATATTTGCTCCAAAGATCCACCAAAAGAGAGAATTCTGATTTACTCTAAAAATACCCAAGAGCAATGGGTTCTTTGTTTGGATTATATGTTTCAGTAGGAAAAAAAATACTGTTGTTCAATTTTAATAATATCAAGTAAAGGCAATTTTAAAAGGACATCCAGTTTCACTAGTGGTATAAGTAGGAGTATATTTTTATATACTATTAAGAAGACAATATATAAGTTCATATTAAAAGACAAATTGCCCATAAAACTGTAATTGATTTCAAAAGAATATGGTAGCATTACATTACATATGAAAGGAAAAGGGGGATTTAAAATTTTCAATGTGAAATTTTATTTTCTGATATTTTTAAACAGTTTTGTCATATTGGTGCTATAGTTTTATAATTTAATAAAATTTATTTTTAATTTTTTATAATTTAATAAAATTTTTGATAGCATATAGAAAGTGAGTCTATAACCATCGGCAGGTACTTAGTTTTTACACTGTTATTGCCAAAGAGCCTATTTCACACAAATACAGTGGTGAAGATGGAACTGACACTTAATGTCTACTTAATCCACTCAGAAGTTTCTGAAAATGTAGCATTTGCCAGCTTTTTAAAATGTGATGTTGGTTATGATTTCTTTGCTTATTTCTAATAAAAATTCACTGTTGACTTCGTATTTTTCTATTATTCGGAGCAAACCCCAGATTATATAAGCAATATGCCCCCCCCCATCTGCCTCCATCGTAGAATAAACGGAGAAAAAAATAACTGCAAGAACTGGAATAAAGTGCTGGTGATTATTTGGGGACGATATACGTATTTTTATCGTTATGAAAGAATACTTAACAGTAGTAGCGAGAGTAGTTCTTTGAATGGGGGGAAAAGAAAAAAGAAAAGAGGAAAGAGCAAGTAGAAGATAAAGAACAAAACAGAACACAGCTGTGCACTGACGGGAAGACGTCCTGGGAGACAGGCAGCCTCAGGCCCCCGCTGCCGCCCCACTCCCGCCGCACTCCCGCCGCGGGCTCAGTTTCCCTGACCAAGGCCACGGAGCCGACTGCGCATGCGGCGCCGGCCAAGTTTGGGCGCCCGGACAGGAACGCAAGCACCTGCCGCGCGCCTCGTCCCGCACGCCCCGCTCTCCCGCCTCAGTGAAACAGGCGAAATCCCCCGCAGTTAGCGCCGCAAAAACTGCGTGTACTTTCAATTACGGTGCTCCGCATCCCCCACCCACGGCCGCATGGCTGTAATATCCGGCAGCTCTCCCGCTTCCAAAGGGAACAGGCAGCTTCCTGAGAAGCCAGACGCAGGCGGAGCGCCAGAGGGGAGAGGGAGAGCGCCCAGAACTTGTGCCCTGACTGCAGCGCCCGCGCCACGTAAGTTCGCTCCTAAACTTGGTTTTGCGCGGCCGTTTCGGCTAACAAACAAGAACAGCACAGGCCCAAGCGCAGGGCAGCGGGAAGGCGGCGGGAGGCCGACGCGGGGAGCTTAGCTCCCGCCGCTCAGCTTGTCCCGAGGACCCGGGCGCCCGCGGGGCGACCCCGGTCGCGCCGCGTCCCGGGAGGCGCCGCAGCCCCTCAGGCGTCACGGGGAGCCGGGCGCGGGAGAAGCACCGGTGCCTGCCGCCTGGGCTGCGGAAGGGGACTGAAGCCTTCCTCCGGCAGGATGGAGGCACCTTCCACTCCCGCCGTTCGTCCCCCAGGGGCGCTGGGTGGCGTCCTCCCTCCTGAGGCGTGTCCTGCCTGCCCCCTGCCGGGCGCCGGGAAAACAGCCTGGATGGCCCTTGTGTCACTGACCACTAACATCCCGGAAGACGACTTCTTGTGTGTGTGTACTATAAACATGTAATATACCGTAGAGTCAGCAGTGGTGTATGGAGTTATTCAATCTCACGCTAATCGATTGTTAAAAATAAGCCTAAGGTTTAAGCGTGTTTATCCTGCACTGTTTATAAATGTGTGTTCCATACACAAACTACATCAGAGTATCTTGTAGTATTTGTTGAAAATATGGATTTGGGGCATTTTTAACCATCATGCGAGATGATTCTTATAGACCATAACTTTTGTAAACCATTGACTAACTCTGTCTAGTAGAACCATCTCATTCTATTTATATAATTTGGATTTAGAATCATCTTAGCTTGGATACCTCAGTCCTGCTTTGCAGCTAAAAAAGTAATAATAATAAGCTTTGTAATCCATATATTCCGCCCCAAAGGTTTTAAAAATATTAAGTCCAAGAAAAGAAATCTGCAATTTGTCCTATAGTACACCAGCAAAACTCTTGCTTTACTCCATATTTTTTAACTCTCTAGCACCTAATGAACTGATTTTTTTTTTTTAAGAAAAGGATTTTTATTTAGCCTAGATTTTTGGTAATGTACACCTGATAGAATGTACTGACACAATAACTCATTGCCTCAGTTGCTAATTACAGAAAAAGTATATTAGCTGTTGAAAATTAGAAGTAATTCATTGACAGCCTATTCATTGTTAGTCTATACAGTTATGGATGAAGAAGGAATTATTATTTTACCCTTAATATTGATAAGAAAATCAAGGCTTGGGGCACCTGAGTGGCTCAGTTGATTGGGCATCTGCCTTAAGCTCAGGTAATGATCCTGGGATCCTGGGTGAGTCCTGCATCAGGCTCCCTGCTGAGCAGGGAATCTGGTTCTCCCTCTCCCTCTGCTCTCCCCCTCCCTCCCTTCCACCCCCTTCCGTTCTCCCACCCCCTCCAGCTCATAAATCTTAGAAAGAAACAAAATCAAGGCTTACCCAGTCCCTTTTTCAAGGTTTCACAGACAGTAGGTGATTTGAACCTTCTAAGTTGAACCTGATAGCCTGACTCCAGATGCTGTGCTGGGACACCCAGAGATGGCTCTGTGCTCCTCCTGCTGGCTCCCCCTGCATCAGTGACCTCCATGTCAGCCCTTCGTGCTGTGCCTCTCTTGCCTGTTCTTCCTTCTCATGAGATGTACCCTTTCCTTGTTTGCATCCTTCCTTGTTTCCTTCGCACTCACATTGACTCTTGGATGAGAGAAGTGTCACTATTTCTGTCCAAAATGGTCCTTCACATGCATTTGGAATTCTATCTCTTCTGTCACCTCAGATACGTACAATGCACCAGCCATGGTTTTAAGTTGTCATAACTGTCATGAATTATTTAATACTCCCAGTGATCTATAATGTAGTTACTATTAGTATTACCACCTTATGAGATTACTCACAGAGGCACAAAGAGATTATGTATTCTTTTCGTGGTCAAACAGAATGGATCCAGTATAGGAACCCAGGCGATCAGGCTGTAAACACAGCATATTATGGTGCCTTTCTTCAGTTGTCACTCTTGTTCCTGCTCTAGTTTTATTTCTACTGGAGCTCACCCCCTCTATTACCAGTGGCTTCAGGCAGCTTTGTATTATAAGCTGAAAGGCCTGGGTATTTGCCATGCAGTTAATAATTTTTTGTTTCTCACAGGAAATAAATGGACAATGTCTAATTTCACAAAATATAGAGACAAAATAGAAAGTTGAGAAGTGTATGCAAAAGCTTTCTTTATCCTGAAGTTATGCTTAGTTGCTCTTTAGTATTTCATTTAGTATCTCAAATGAGGTAAGAGAGTTATTGTTACATGTCAGCAATAGTCTGTCCTGTATGATACAAGATTGTGCTTAAGTATTGTATAAACTTACAACAATGGCACAGGAAGCAGATGCTCAGTCGTGTGGAGGGAGCTCAGCTTTGACTTATAGGCTAAACTTTGGGGCACCTTTGAGCCTGACAGTGTCTTCCACTTGTGCTCCAGGACTGCCTCAGTCACTGTCAAAGGAACACCTCCTTGGATGGAAAGCTGGAAACAGTGGGAACACCACTGCTCAACACTGTTGTAGAAAAAATAAAGGGAGAGTCAAAGCTGCATGATTGATCTCTCTATGTCTCATGAAATGCTCTACTCACTGAAAGGAAAATATTCAAACTTTCCCAGATACGGGATTCTGTCAGATCTGGGCAGAATCTTAAGCATCCACACAACTGGCTCACTTCTCTGTAAGCCTATAAACAAAAATAAAACATTATAAAGCATAGAAATGTCCTTTTCTTCCAGTTTAATAAATTCTGGAACCATATCTTTCTTGTCACTATAAAGGTATTTCTATTTAGTTTTAAGAGAGAGCTCCATTCTTTGCCACTCTCCTCTCATGTTACTCAGGTATCCACCCAGGCTCTTTTCCCCAACAGTTCACTGTTTTCATCAAGCTCACTGATGACCTCCATTATGTCTCTTTCTCAGGGAGACCATCACTGACTACCCTATGTATGAATTCAACCCTAACACCGCATATCCCTATTGCCTGCTTATTTCACACCCTGATAATTTTTCTCTAGAATATTCATCATCATCTAACATTTCATATATTACATGTATCATATAATATGTATGTATATGTTTATATATATATAATTTATATAATATATTTTGCTTATTAGAGGTCTTCTCCTAACAGAACAGAGCTCCATGAGGCAGGAATTTATATCTATTTTGTTCACTGCTGGGTACAGAGCACCTAGAATAATGTCCAGCACATGGCAGGTATACAACACGTATATAAGTTAAATTAATGATTATTCACAACCTAAGAATATGTTTAGTCCTTCTCTTATGTAAACTCCATATATTTAGTCTTTCTGGTCACTTCCTCCCTCTTGATACCCACACCACCTACCCTTCTGAGACACATAGGCTCTTGGAACTCATTTTATGTATTCACCATGTGGGAGATATAAAAACATCCTTGCTGTTTTGATGCATATACTACAACCTCTCATATCTTACTTTACCGATAAATCTTTCTCCTAGTTGCACATCAATTCAAATGAGCAAATGTTTATGTAGTGCCCAGTAGGTGCTGAGAATTGTGGAGGCCTTACCTTCACTGAACTTAGTGTTAAAAGATTCAGATGAACATGACAAAGTATAGGTTGAATGCTTACCAGCCTATAATGCTTTCATTCAGGTCTACACAATTCTATTTAATGTCTATGAGTATATCAGAATTAAATATTTCTAAAAATTTCAACACCCACGAAAAACAGACTCGTGTTTTTCTTTTTGACATTTACCCAGGTGTCCAAGGTAAAAACCAAGGAGTCACTTTAGATGCCTCTTTCTCATTTGAATCCTCCAAGTCATCACACATGCTGTCTCTTCTCATGTTTAACTCTCTCCTGTTGTCATAGTTACCAAATTGTATCTTTTGATTTCTTCTTTCAAGCTATATTAGAGCACCTTTCTTTTACTGGACACTAGGCCATGCATATGTCTATCATGGTATTTCTCTACTTACGCTGCAATCGTGACTATTGCCTGTCTTCTCCAATATACCATAAGCTCTTGAAGTATAATTGTAGTAACTGAACTCTGAGCTGAAGGGATGTGTGGTCATCATGATCAATTATCCATGAGATATGCTTAAAGGAAGGTGACCTAGCCTCCTTCCTCCTTTCTTCTTCTGCTGGTTAGAAGGAACATGTGATGATAAGTCAACTTGTACCATGAAGTGGCATTGTTAAAAGATGGCTAAGCAAGACATAAAAGGAAACTTTGCCCCTGATGACTTTGTGAATTATAATCTTTATCTTTGTAAACTTGTGACAAAGGGTAGTACACTTTCAGCTTTTTAAGCATCGGCTATCTAGGCTTTTCTGTTATTTGTAGAGGAACCAAAGCCTAGCTAATATAGATTCTAAGGCACTTTGAAGGTTGGAACTCTATCTTACTCATTTTTATATCCCCAGCATTGAACATGGCATCAGGCTCATCAATTATATAATGAATTAGATAGTGATTAGGTAATCAATTAGGTAATAAGTTAGACTGGATATCAAAGTTATACCTTTTGTGGGGCACCTGGGTGGCTCAGTGGGTTAAGCCTCTGCCTTCGGCTCAGGTCATGATCTCAGGGTCCTGGGATCCAGCCCCACATTGGGCTCTCTGCTCAGCAGGGAGCCTGCTTCCCCTTCTCCCTCTGCCTGCCTCTCTGCCTACTTGTAATCTCTATCTCTCTGCCAAATAAATAAATAAAATCTTTTTTTAAAAAAGAGTTATACCTTTTACAAAATGTAAGATGAACTGCAGTCTCCAGTGAGACACATACCCTGTAAATAGAGGGGTTGGTCTGGAAATAGATTGGTGGCTTGATGACTGTGCAGGAATAACAGTATCTGTTTAGATCACACTATGTATTATAATGACTTCATACCTAATGAGTCAATAGAGAACCCTGCAGTTTCCCCATCAAGAAACTTACCTATTTGTTAAAAGCGTATTTGAGGAAATTAATTCTGATAGGTTAGATTTTGGAGTAGTTAGTGCAGTGAGATTGCTATTCAACTCTTGCTTTTGCCACTAACTGACCATAAAGCCTCTACCAATCCTTTAACTTAAATATCTGTATTATCATTACTTCATCCAGTAAGAAAAGATAAAATTCTTTAACTTCCAGGGATTTTTTTAAGGAAAAAAAAAGATGTATACATATATGTCTTTTTTCCTTAAAAAATTTTTTAAAAGATTTTATCTATTTATTTGACAGAGAGAGAGAGAGCACAAGTAGGCAGAGCGGCAGGCGGAGAGAAAAGGAGAAGCAGGCTCTCTGCCAATGCGGAGCTTGATCTCAGAACACTGAGATCATGACCTGAGCCAAAGACAGCTGCTTTAACTGACTGAGTCACCAAGGTACCCCACCTTAAAAAAATTTTTACCAAGGCTTTTTATGCAGAGGGATTCCTGAGCAAGAACATTATTTTTAGAGAACTGAATCACTGGAGACAAACAATACATATGTGCCATCATAGATATCGCTAGGGATTATGGGCATGTTAGAAGAAATCTGTGATCTACTGGTGGCAGGCTGTATACTTCTCCCTTAAAAACATACAAAACGTAGGAAGTAGATATGCACGTTCCTTGAATAACCATTAAAGATGACTTTGGGATCTTACATTCTACTGAGAGGCTCTTCTGCATTTCAGGTTACCATGGCATCTGGACCCACCATGACAGAACCCATTTGTCTAGTGGAAAACCACGGAGAGCAGTTGAATGTGAATCGAAAAGCGTTACAGATTCTTGACAAGATTTCTCAGCCTGTGATGGTGGTAGGCATTGTAGGGCAATATCGGACAGGAAAATCCTACCTGTTGAACCGCCTAGTAGGACAGAACCATGGTGAGTGTTGTCCTGGGACCGGAGTCATTTGCTTGGAACCAACGATACTGCAGATTGGTCATGCTCCTCTGATGTCATCTAAAGGAAGAGGCTGACTCTGCCCAATAAAGAAAACTTGTAATATTGACCATCTAATGAACAACCTCAACCCCATTTGTTCATAAAACCTCTTTTCTCCAATAATGAACAGCCATTTTCCACACCCTATTAGAGATCCAAGCCTCCCTCTCCCAACTAATTCCTCTGGATCCCATCCACTCTTCTTAGAAACTCAGCTTCTACTACTACTTCCTTTCTTTCTCCTGTATCACTTCTGCCAAACCTGTAATGTCATTTCAAGAAGCTTCAAATTACTTTAATATTTACTACTTTTGTTAGAAGAGGAAAGGAAGAGAAAAAGGGGGAAATCTTTTTTATCCTATATGTCAATAGAGCTACCATTTTATTTTTCTGCTCCATGTCAAGGCAAAATTTTCATAAGTTATAACCCCTTCTCTCTCTTTTTTTAGCCTTTTCAAATATGTGAAATTTAACACATACAGAAGAGTGCCTAAAACACAGTGTACAATAAAATGAATAAAGTGAACACCTGTGTAATCATGGCTTGAGTCAAGAAATAAATCATTGGTGGGGCATCTGGGTGGCTCAGTTTGGTTAAACATCCAACTCTTGATCTCCACTCAGGTCTTCAGCTCAGGATCATGAGTTCAAGCCCTGTGTTGGCTTGAGCCTAAGTAGGCTTTTATTTTAAGACCTACTTACAATAAAAATTTAAAAAAAAAAAAAGAAAAAGAAAAAGAAATCATTGTCAACACCCAAAGGCCCAAACCATACCCTCTCACACTCTCACTAGTGCTCACCAGTGTTTTGATTTTCATGATACTTATTCCTTTGCTTTTTAAAAATGGTATTATAGTTTATGTTTGTATTTCTAAAACATACTTTATTTTGGACTGCTTTTAAAATTGATATAAATGGAATTTAATCAAGTTCTAGTCTCAGATCACAGCTCCAAATGTGAAAATTTGTCATTCTTTTCCATTCCTGGTCCCCAGCATTTACTCCTAGAACTTGTACCTCTCTTCCCACATAAAAGAATTCCACACCTAAAGAGTCTTGATGGGGGCAGAGACTACCTCCATCCATAGAGGAGAGAACCTACTTTACCAGTCTTGCAGTTGGACATGACATGAAGCTTCAACAGTCATATGACCACCTGCAACTCTGACTCAAGACATGTGATAGACACACTGTGACAGTGCCCATGCATTGGGCACAGGTGGTCTGAGCAGTGTCACAGTATTGTCATGCAGCTATCAGGGGCTGCAGAGATAGCAATCCTAGCCTCAGTGTCCAGTGTCCTCCCTCAGGCGAGTCAGTGCTGTGGACAGTAGCCAGACACTGGCTCTGTGTGCACCTCCATTAAGGTCCAGTGTCGATTCTGCTACTGGCTGTGTAGCCTCAAACCCGTATTGTGGCTTTCCTGGAAATAAAACAAAGTCCCATTTAAAAAAAATTTTTTTTCTTTTCAATTTTTTATTTAAATTCTAGTTAACACACAGTGCTATATTGGTTTCTGGAGTAGAAGTCAGTGATTCATCACTCACATACAACATCCACCGCTCATCACAAGAAGTGCCCTCTTTAATATCCATTTCAATACTCATCACCTATCTAGCCCATCTTTAAGAGTCTCTTAGGGTTTCTTTAAGAGTCTCTTATGGTTTGTTTTCCTCTCTCTTTTTTTTTCCTCCCTCTCATATGTTCACCTGTTTTGTTTCTTTAAATTACACATATGAGTGAAATTATATGGCATTTGTCTTTCTTTGACTGATTTATTTTACTTAGCATAATACATTCTTAGCTTCATCCATGTCCTTGAAAATGGCAAGGAATGAAAGTTTGACTTCTTCCTAGCCCATTCAGATGCCTTTTATTTCTTTGTGTTGTTTAGTTGCTGAGTGGCTAAGGCTTCCGATACTATGTTAAATAATAATGGTAAGAGGGCACATCCTTGTCTTATTCCTGACTATAGGGGAAAGGCTCTCAGTTTTTCCCTATCAAGGGATATTAGCTGTGGGTCTTTCATATATGGCATTTACGATATTGAAGTATGTCTCATCTTTATATACTTTACTGAGGGTTTTTATCAAGAAAGGACACTGTATTTTGTCGAATGCTTTTTTTTTTGGCATCTATTAACAGGATCATATGGTTCTTATCTTTTCTTTTATTAATGTGGTATATCACATCAATTGATTTGTGAATACTAAACCAGCCCTGAAGCCCAGGAATAAATCCCGTTTGGTCATGGTGAATAATTCTTTTAATGTACTCTTGAATTCAATTTGCTGGTGTCATGTTGAAAATTTTTACATCCATGTTCATCAGGGATATTGGTCTGTAATTTTCCTTTTTAGGGGGGTCTTTGTCTGGTTTTGGAATCGAGGTAATGCTGATTACCTGGTAGAATGAGTTTGGAAGTTTTCTTTTTTTTTTTTTTTTTTTTTCTTAAAGATTTTATTTATTTATTTGACAGAGAGAGATCACAAGTAGGCAGAGAGGCAGGCAGAGAGAGGAGGAAGAAGGCTCCCTGCTGAGCAGAGAGCCCAGATGTGGGGCTCGATCCCAGGACCCTGGGATCATGACCTGAGCCGAAGCCAGAGGCTTTAATCCACTGAGCCACCCAGGCGCCCCGAGTTTGGAAGTTTTCTTAAATGGAGTTAAATTTTATGTATTTCTTGAGGTCTTCTTTTGCTCAACAAGAAGTTTTTAAGATTCATCCTTTTTTGTATGTACCTATAATTTATTTCAAGGCATTATAGTAACATTTATCTTTTTTTTTAAAGATTTTATTTATTTGTTTGACAGACAGAGATCACAATTAGTCAGAAAGCAGACAGAGAGAGAGAGAGGAGGAAGCAGACTCCCTGCTAAGCAGAGAGCCCAATGTGAGGTTCGATCCCAGCACCCTGGGATCATAACCTGAGCTGAAGGCAGATGCTTTAACCCACTGAGCCACCCAGGTGTCCCGTAACTTTTATCTTTTATGAACAAAATTGTCTTAGATATTCTTGTAATTTTATCCTGATATATAGGTACACAAACTTCTCATATAATATATCCTGAAGTGGAATTTCTACGTCACAAAGTATTTGTTTCTTTAGGACTTCCAGATAAAATCAATGTCTTTTTCAACTCTCTGTTTAAGTTACATGTTTATTAGTAGCAATTAAGAATTCTCACATCCAAAGAAAAATTTTTGACTTTTACTGTTATGATGACTGCTTGGTTCTATGTCATGTGCCTCACTATAAGTAAGGTTGAGTATCCTTTCACATATTATTTGCCCTTTGTAATTCCTATTTTGTTAAATGCCTGTTGAAGTCTTTTTAAAAAATTGTAATTGGATTGTCTTGTTTAGTTCTTACTGATTTTTAGGAGAACCTGCCTCTGGCCCCATTAGTCATTAGTCATTTATTTCTATGTAGACCATGCAGCCCTGGTTTTCCAAATATCTTACCTCCTCTCTGGCTCAGCAGCAGTAGGTGCTGAACTTCAGTCCACTAAACTCTAAGCATCCCCATACATCCATGTTGCTTTCTTCTCTTCTCTTGCAGGCTTCCTCCTGGGTTCCACAGTGAGGTCTAAAACCAAAGGTATTTGGATGTGGTGTGTACCCCACCCCTCCAAGCTGAACCACACCCTGGTCCTTCTGGACACTGAAGGTCTAGGTAATATAGAAAAGGTAAGGCAAAGTCATGGGGGAATCTTGACTCTACTTTTCATTTACTACCTCAATTCAAGTTCTATTACCTATTCTTAAAAACTCTAAGCCCAAGTATGAAAATGAGAATATATTTCTCCCTGAACTTACTTTTCTGGTCACCTCAAGTATTGGGGTATATAATAACAACATCTTCTTACTTTTAACAGTTGGATAAACATACAGTTTAGTAAATACTTAACCAAACAGCTGAATTCCCGTGTTCTGTACTAAGTACTACAGATACTGCAGCAAATAGGGCAAATGCCTAGAGCTTAACTGCAAGAGACAACATGTACACAGTGTGATCAGTATGGGGAACCATGCATAGATGTAGGCACCTAATCCAATCATATGGCTTCGAGAAAGCTTCCTGGAAGAAATAATATCTAAACTGTAACCCATGAAGTCAGTGGGACCTAGCAGTTCAAGTATATGGATGTGATGGATTTAGAAGTAGGGGATGTAGGGCGCCTGGGTGGCTCAGTGGGTTAAGCCTCTGCCTTCGGCTCAGGTCATGATCCTAGGGTCTTGGGATCAAGCCCCGCATCTGGCTCTCTGCTCAGCAGGAAATCTGCTTCCCTCCCCCACCGCACCCCCTGCCTGCCTCTCTGCCTAGTTGTGATCTCCGTCAAATAAATAAATAAAATCTTTAAAATAAAAAAAAAAGAAGTAAAAGAAGTAGGAGATATGAAATAGGGTTTCAGTAAAGTAATTTATTTAAATCCTCTTCAGACGAAGTTTAAATCCTATGCCAGGAGCATTCATGAAGGGTTTTAGTTCAAGTCTCTGGTTTTAGAGATTACTTCTTCTCTGACTTATATAAGAGAATGACCTTGACCCACTGAAATTATCTTACCTGATATAATCTTACATATTTTCTCTTTATACTATTAAGTGAAACAAATTGTTTCTCCTTATTTTACATTACTCTGAGCCTATATTCAAAGTAGCATTGGTAAATATCTGGCTTCTATAAATGTGGGGAGAGAGTATTCAGAGATTCTGTGCTCAGTTTTAAAGCTCTTGACAGTAAATTCAGTATAAAAGCAAAATGATTCTCTTGATGTTGAAAACGATTGTTATTTGGCCCAAATCCTGCTTTAAAAAAAAAAAAAAAAAAAGCAATCTACGTTGGATACTTTCAGGGACAATAAGGACTTGAGGAAATAGTTTTTTTCCCAAAAATATGAAAAGTTTTCTAGTCTTCCAGATCAAATCTGATAACTATAGAATCTAGATACTGCATTTGTACAAGGCAACAGGATACCCTGTGTTGTAAACTGCTGATGGCAGCAGAACCAGTGGCTAACACTAAAATTGTGGAATGCTTTGAGATATCTGACTCTGTTTTCCTGGTCTTCAAAGAATTTCAGGTCTTTCCCTGAATGTTGGTTCCAGTTTTGCCCTCCATATCCAAGACCCCATAGTGACCCCATAGTCACTTCTTGCTCTGAAGTTGCACGATTCTTTTTTCTATTTGAGAGATTATAAGCTTGGTTGTCTTTATCTGCCCCTTCTTAAGTCATCTTAAGTACAGTAACTTTTGCATCCATACAGCCAAATGCAGTGTCTGGCGTTTTGTAGGTGCCTAAAGAGTAGTTGTAGAATTTTTTTGAATAACATTTGTGTTGCAAATACAGATAATATGAAAAAGAATTTGATAGAGGAATAATTGCTCACATTATTGTATGTCTGCTGTATTCTAGGGACTGCATAGACATTTTACCCATATTGACAATGTCATTTACTTCTTTTAATAGCTAAGATACTGAGGCCCTGAGAGGGTACTATGTTAACACTAAAAATGAGGTTGAATTTATTATTGTCTTCAAAACTTGTGTTCTTTGTCTTAAGATTTCAGCAATATATAGTAACAAAATAATAAATGAAAAACTGAATGAATGAATAAGTGAATGGGTGAGTAAATAGCAGCCTTCTAAGTCCCTTGTCTAATGTGCTTTCTAGGTCGACTCCAAGAATGACTCATGGATCTTTGCCCTGACGGTGCTTCTGAGCAGCACCTTGATCTACAACAGCATGGGCACCATCAACCACCAGGCCCTGGAGCAGCTGCAGTATCCTTTCAGGGATCAAACCACCAAATTTCATTGAGTTTACAGGAATTGCCATTCTCAACTGAGACTGTCATCTTTTCTGTGACTTAATTGTCATGATTGCAGAAGGGAGTGAGAGGGACCCAGAATAAAAATTAGTGCTTATAACATTTATTTCTATCTGAGATCTGGAAATTGTGATGTAAAGTACTTGTTCCTTAGCTAAGTTCCTAGCTATGTGACTGAACTATCACAGCTAATCAGGGCGAAGTCATCCTCAAAGTTCAGTGGGGTAGACGACTCTGCCAACTTTGTGAGTTTCTTTCCAGATTTTATTTGGGCTCTACGAGATTTCACACTGGAAATGAAGATAAATGGACTCTTCATAACTGAAGATGAGTACCTGGAGGATGCCTTGAAGCTGCTTCCAGGTCTCAGAGTATGGCTTAAATGGTGGCAGGTTTTTTAATGATGGGATCAACTGAGCCCTGTCATTCAGCATTTGACATAAATGTTTATTTGAATTTGGACTGAAGCCAGTGCTAATGGTGATTGGGCTTTGTGGGTTATTATTACTTTAAAGTCTTTAGTAATTGGAGCTTAAGCTCATTAAAAAAATTCGGGACCCAATATTAGATAATTTAATGCTAATTAATACCATGAAAAAATATTTCCAGATTTCAATCAGTGCTATAACTTCTTTTTTTTTTCACATGGTTATAAGTGTCATTTTTTAAAAAGATTTTATTTATTTATTTGACAGAGATCACATGTAGGCAGAGAGGCAGGCAAGAGAAAGAGAGAGGGAAGAGAGAGAGAGGGAAGAAGGCTCCCTGCTGAGTCCCTGCTGCGGGACTCGATCACAGGACCCTGAGATCATGACCTGAGCAGCGGCTTAACCCATTGAGCCACCCAGGTGCCCCATTGCTATAACTTCTTGAGGCCCACATACTTTTGTGGCTTGTTAAGTGTTCTTCCTTTTTTTTATTGGAAAAAGAAAAAATAGTTCATCAGATTGGAAATTGCTAAACAAAATCACATTGAAATCAATTACTTATTTTTAAAATGTATTTCAATAGTAATAATAATATAGTAATCAAAATGGTAGAATAGTATATTTTAATAGTGTTAGCTGATTAATAGATTATCTGATCTAATTTATCTGATTAATAGGTTATCTGATCTAATATTTGGGCCTGAATTTCTTTAGTGAGCTTAGCTCCAATTGCTAGAGATTTTAAAGTAATAAATAAAGTTATAATATTTAATAATTGTATATTACTAGCACCTGTAGAGTTATATTCTCCACAGAAAGGATATTTGCAAGCTAAAAGGTCCAGAAAAAGTGTTGACACATCTTTCCTGTAAAGCTGTCAGACCTTCATGTTACCTTCCTTATAACATCATCCTTTTCACTTTGTAGCCTTACACAATATTCTATTTTTATATTATAAATTTGTTACATGTATTTAGCAAAGTGGATAATAGAAGATATCTATAGGGATAGGGAACATCCGTTTTTATTTACTAATTTTATTTAGCTGATATGTGCTACAGAATTGCTCTGTAAGGTCCTGTGAAGTCTGAATCGATCTAATATAGGGAAATGATGAGGTCTCAAATTACATTTAGATTAAAATATACTTTAGAGATTTCAGTTAAAGGAATCTCTAAACATATTTGTGGTGTGACATATTTTTGGCTTATGCTTATAAAAATTTTTCTTTATTGACCTGGATATCATCTATTTTCTTCCTGACATTTTCCCCAGCAAAGTGTTACCCTTTTGTTCTGGCATCACGTTAAAGCCCATATTTCATTTTTGACATGGAAAAGTACTTCTGACCTCCTTTTAAATTATAGTTGACACATAGTGTTGCATTAGTTACAGGTGTAGAAAATAGTGATTTGACAACTCTGTACATTATGCTGTGCTTACCACAAGTGTAGCTACCATCTGTCACCAAACAACACTGTAACAATATCATTGATTATATTCCATTCTATACCTTTCTAACTCTGTCTTCATTCCTTAACTGGAAGGCTGTACCTCCCACTCCCCTTCACCCATTTTACTCATCCCCCACCACCATCCTTTCTGCAACCACCAGTTTGTTCTCTATATTTATGGCCCTCTGACTTTTTTTCTTAGTCATTCAATAAACATTAGATACGTAATCCATGGGACCCCAAAAAAATGCTAGGGAAACTAGCATAAGTTTATTGACTTGTGCTGAATGCCTCCCATTCCTCTCCTGAAGTACTTCCCTGACTCTTAGCTCTGTTCAGAAAGGAATTTTCCGTGACTTTGGTAAATTGGCACAATTTCGATTTACAAAGCTCATGATTAGAATAAAGGAGATTCACAGGCACAGGAACTGCCATAATGCAAAGATGCCTGGAAATGAAAGTTCTGACTCCCTTACCTAAAGGTGACCTTTCAGTGATCAGTTTTTTTTTCCACTTTTGCAGGCACAAATCCCAAAATCCAGAATTCCAACATGCCCAGAGAGTGTATCAGGCAGTTCTTTCCAAAACGGAAGTGCTTCGTCTTTGACCGGCCTACAAGTGACAGAAATCTCTTATTCCATCTTGAGAAGGTGCCAGAAGACAAGCTAGACAGTGCTTTCCAGGAGCAATCAAAGAAATTCTGTACCTATATTTTCAATCATACAAAGACCAAGACCCTAAGAGAGGGAATCACTGTCACTGGGAGACGTGAGTCACCTTTGTCCCAAAGTATGTCTCTGTGTCAGTGTGTGGTGGAGCTTTGATGAGAGGCTGGATTTGTCGGTAATTTTGTTTACATCTGTGTGTAACTATGGAGAAGCAGATGTTCATGGCCTGAAAAGAAATCCATGTGTGTTTACTCATTAAAGTCTCCCTGTGTGAGGGTCTGCTGAGACCTGATATACCTCAGGAACATAAGCCACCAATCCTAAGAAGACAAGATGGTGTTAAAAAGAAGACATCTGTATATTGAGAAATCCTATGGGATAACATCTTGTCTTGAAGGAGATAGCAGGTTATTTTGTAAATTTACATGAGTCAGGTCATAAAGAGCAAGCTATGAGTTCCTGCAAGACCACTGAGAAACAGAATTATGTGTCATCTTATGTGTAGGGCAGGCTCCGTGGGCATGTAACTTACGCAGTCCTATGGTATCCTGTGTGGAGATGGACCCATACTTGCTTTAAGATTCTCTATCCTTGTTTTGAATTCTAAATCATGTTCAACTAGGAGTTCACATTTTTGTTTTGTACCGGGGCACACACATTATGCATCTGGTCTTGTTTGTGTCTATTACTTCACCTATGTAATCTATTCCTTTACATTCTCATGAATGGGGGTACACAGGTGCATATTGTATAGTTGGTAATTTAAGTTGTGCTGTGACAAAATGGAGAACAATAAGAGAAAAAACAGGAAAACAATAATCCTGTTAGAAAGGAATAGATTCCCAAAAGGAGAAAATAACATTTTCCTTGTAAATAAGATGGGGCTTTTTGTGATCTTAGAATGATGCCTCATAAAAACTATAAGCTACTGATTGAGACCTTGGTATTTATGCTCAAATTCCCTGGCTTATATAGGGCTGGGGACTCTGTTGAAAGCCTATGTGGATGCCATCAAGAAAGGAGCAGTTCCTTGCTTGGAGAACGTGGTGACAACTCTGGCTCAGCGTGAGAACTCAGTGGCCGTGCAGAAGGCAGCTGACCACTACAGAGAGCAGATGGCCCAGCGACTGAGGCTCCCCACAGACACACTTCAGGAGCTGTTGGATGTACATGCACACTGTGAGAGGGAAGCCATTGCAGTGTTCATGGAGTATTCCTTCAAAGACGACAAGCGGGAGTTCCAGAAAAAACTTATGGTAATTGTCTTAGCATTTAGCACTCCTGATTTCTCTCCTTTGGAAATCATGCTTAGAGCCTATATATTTTTTATCAAATAGTTCATCTCTTCATCCTGGTTAAAGGAGCCTGGATTGAGGTACCTGGGTGGCTCAGTAGGTTAAGCCTCTACCTTCAGCTCAGGTCATGATCTCAGGGTCCAGAGATCGAGCCCCACATCGGGCTCTCTACTCAGTGGGGAGCCTGCTTCCCCCCTCTCTCTGCCTGTCTCTCTTCCTACTTGTGATTTCTGTCAAATAAATAAATAAAATCTTTAAAAAAATAAAGGCGCCTGGATTGTTGTGAGACAGAGCTATACAGGCTATAGATTACTATAGCCTTTTACTATAACATAGTATAACTATAACATAGCCTTTTACTATAACATAGACATTTTATTAATTTTCTGCTGCATTAAAAATTTCCATGAGGGGTGCCTGGGTGGCTCAGTTGGTTAATCATCTGTCTTTGGCTCAGGTCATAATCCCAGGTCCTGGGATCAAGCCCCAGGTCAGGCTCCCTGCTGTGCAGGGAGCTTGCTTCTCCCTCTGCCACTTCCCCTGCTTGTGCTCTCTCAATCTCCTCTGAGGAAACTCTACTTCAAGGCACAATTCAACTTTCTCTTTTTCATTGTTGATGGTTGGGTCACTGTTAACCATACTACAGCAGAAGTAAAATTGGAGTTTATATCTTACAACCCCATCATTTTATAGATGATAAGCCTGAATCCAAGAGAGTTAATGGGCTTTTGACAAGTAACAAAGAGAATCAATCAGAACTAGGACTAAAAGTCTCTGGGGATGCTGGGGTGGCTCAGTTGGTTGAGTGTCTGACTCTTGATTTTGGCTTAGGTAGTGATTTCAGGTTTGAGGAACTGAGCTCCCCACAGGGCTCTGTGTTCAGCAGGGAGGCTGCTAGAGATTCTTTCTCTCTCCTCCTCCCTCTGCCCCTTCTCCAACTTGCATACGTGTTCTTTCTCTATCTCTCAAATAAATAAATTTTTAAAAGAAAGAGAGAGAGAAAGAACGAACGAACTAGGACTAAAAGACTCTTGACTCCTGGTCCATTCCATGTTCCAGTCTACTCATAGGTGATCATGATGCTTTTCCTAAGAGGATGACATTGGACTTTCCCTCCTAACAGCTCCTTTCTAATTGATTTTTCCATAATTTCCCTGGCAGGAGACCATAGAGGAAATAAAGGAAGATTTCTTGCTGCAGAATGAAGATGCATCTGTCCAATATTGCCAGGCACAGCTTAAGCAACTTTCAGAGTCCTTGATGAAAAGCATTTCAAGAGGAACTTTCTGTGTTCCTGGAGGATATCATCTTTACTTAGAAGAAAAGGAAAAGGTTGAATGGGACTATAACCAAGTGCACAGGAAAGGGGTTAAGGTGAGGAGTAAGGAGAGAAGGGTGGTTGTCAAAATCCTAGAGTCAAAGGGTGTTGCTTTTTCTGAAAATGTAAGATCACAGCACCATTTTAAGGGAGAAAGCAGAGCATGGCCATATCGCCATCCTTTTAGTTTTTATCCACAATTAGTTATATGTTGTTGAAGAGATTAGAAATATTTCTTCCCAAGAAACGGTGTAGAATTGGGAATTCTGGATTAAAGAGAACAATTTTTCTTTATCAAACAATGTGATCATTTCTTTGCTTAGTATAGAGGATACAAAGAGTAAAGATAACAATCTTTGTTCCAAGATGTCTTCTTTATTTGAAGACAAATAATTGGGTAATTGTATGATTATCATACATTCATGAACAGATAGTGAAAATAATGGTAATGATTATGATGACAATAAAAATGATTTTAATAAGGCTAACATATACCATGCATATAGTAAGTAACCCATAGATAGGTACTTTCGTTGGACTGTCAATTTAATGCTCAGAATATTATTATAATTTAGATACTATAGTTACGCAGTCAAGAAATGTGTTGTACAAAGAAGTAAACAAGTTGCCCAAAGTCATACTACCAGCAAGTGGGAGAGCTGGTAGGGCAGCTCAGAGTAATTGGCTATCTTCAAAACTGGAAATGTGGCTTGGCAAAGCACCCTGTAAGAGGAGTAAGAGATATAAGATGCAAGTATCCATAAATGTTATCCTAGTTAAGAAAGGGTAGATAAGCATCCTTTCTGTCAGAAAAGAGATTGAGCAAATGTTTGAGAAAACAGGGGTCCCTGTTTATACATGCACAGAAATCTGGTTGGCTGTACTTAGGGTAGATAGTGGAAGGCCTCCCTGGAGAGAAAGATGGAGTGCTAGGAAGGAGGCCACAATAGAAGGTTTCAGGTATCCCAAAAGAACTCAGAATTTATATTGGACCCATGGAAGGAAAGTTAGTAAAGGATATCTAAGCAAATACAAAACTTACAAGGCCAGGTTTATGACTTCATAGAATGATAATTTCCCTGAAAAGACAAGATCTTTGTTACATGACATGTCTCTCCTTGTTTCTTCAGGCAAATGAAGTTCTCCAGCACTTCTTACAGAACCAGGTGGCAGTGGAGAACTCCATCCTTCAGGGAGATGTTGTCCTCACCTATCAGGAGAAGGCCCTAGCAGGTACAGGTGCAGGGTCGAGCTCATAGCAGAGTGGGTAGGTTTCTGCACTAACTTCAGACATAGATGAGAGCAAAACCTTCCTGAAACAAAGAGCTTCCTCTCTTTCTGTGAAACAGCACTGCTAAGTATAACAATAGGAGCTGGCTTTTTAAATCTGTCAGCCAAGGAGGGTCATCTCGATCACATTCTAAAATGTGCTCTTGGTAACCCACATAGTTCAGAGGTTTCTCAGCTACCTTTTCAGAGTCAGTTTGGTATCTCTACTGAGGAGGTGAGAATCAGATCTGACTTTTGTTTTCTTCTCTCTCTAAAACATTTGTGGAACAGCTGAGTCAGCTTTGAAGGAGGCAGCTGAGAAGGAAGTGGAGCTTCTAAGTCAGAAATACAAGGAGCAACAGCAAAAACTGGAGGCGCAAGAGAGAAGCTTCAAGGAAAATATAGAGCAACTGAGAGATAAGTTGGAAAGAGAAAGAGAAAGCCTTCAGATGGAGCAGGAAAAAATGTTGAATCACAAGCTGAAGGTATGTCTGCACAGAGCCTGGGCAGTGCCCAATGGACAATGCTATGGTTCCTCAGGAGAAGGGCCAAAAGTAATTAAAATTATGATCCCAAGGAGAACCATAAAGACATGATTCATTGAAACCTCAGATCCGTCTGGACCCTACTGAGGCCCTTAAGCCCACAAACTCCAGTGCCTTATGTAGCGTGAGAATTTGTCATGTGCAATTAACATCCCTGAGGCTGCTGGGCTGCTCTTTGTGGTGATTGTTAGGGTGATCTCATTGGGCCCCAGTTAAATAGGGCCTCAGTCCACTAGTCCTTAGGATTCTTGATTGAACCATCAAACAGACCTGTAAGAACTCCATCTTGTCTTAAAAGTATCAGATTAGACTTGAAATACAGGATTCCAAAAGCTCTAAAATGTATTACATTTGTTTCCAGATATGTGTGAGTTATCCTACAAAGCACAGAGGAAAGTTAATTCTTCAGCTCAACCTGGCACTTGATAAGCAGCAATCTAGAGGGGGGCAGCAGTTTCCATTATCTGTTAGACGTGTGTGTTCATGCTGCCTCAGTGGGACTGAAAAATAATTAGAATTAATCCTACATCAGTCGGAAGGGCATCCTCAGTGCTGGAACTCCTCTTAAGAGGATAGTTCTCAGGTCTGACCTAGCCTGACCCCACTCCCCTCGTAGTGAGGTGGTGTTGAGGGACTCCTGGGAAGGTGTAAACCATGGATACTCCCACTCTCCAGGACAGACCCATCGAAAAGCACTCTCAGGTGATAGAACAGTAGACACAGTGCTTCAGAGCTGGAACTGTTGAACTCAAAACCCTTACTTTTGGTAATAGAGGATTTTCAAAAGTGGACTCCTTCTCTTTTATAGATCCAAGAAGAACTTCTTAATGAAGGATTCCTACAGAAATCTGAGGACTTGCATACAGAGATACAGCTACTAAAAAAAGAGATTGCAGCGGGTAATGAAAATAAATATTCATTGGATCTATGGGTCTTTGATTTGATTGGTAAAGTATTAGGTGAAGAAATGCCAGATCTAGTGAGCTATGTGGTGTGGGGATGAAGATTGTGGGCTCAAAATGACATAGGCCCAGAATTCCTTGAGGGGTTTCTGCGAAGCTCTGACTTACTTTGGAAGCATGTGTCATATTAGTTTATTTAACATAAGTTTAAAGATAAACTGTGATTATCAATGATTACCAAGGTGTGACATACAAAAGTCAGACTTAATTTTGATCAAATTAAGGAAATAGTAAACAAGATTGTAAAAGAGAAGTGTAAAAAAAAAGCCAGATTTGCAGTTGCAGCTAAACAAAATACTGCAAAATAAAATCATCAGACCTGATTGTTGCTTTCTTCTCTCTAAGGTGCTAAGCAGGCTAAGGAGGAGGCATCTGGGAAGAAACTGGAGCTGCTAAGATGGAAATACAAGGAGCAACAGCAAAAACTGGAGATTCAAGAGAGAAGCTTCAAGGAAAACTTAGCCCAACTGAGAGAGAAGTTGGAAAGAGAAAGTGAAAACTTTCAGAGGGAACAGGAAAAAACGTTGAAGCACAAGCTAACGGTAAATCTGCACAGAGCCTGGGCAGTGCCCAAGGGACAATGCTGTGCTTCCTCAGGAGAAGGACCAAAACTAATAAAAACCATGACCGCATGGGGAATCATAAAGACATATGATTCACTTAATGCCTCAGATCCATCTGGATCCTGCTGAGGTCCTTAAATCCACAAGACTCTAACCCTTTCTATAGTGTTAGTCTTTGAGGTGAACAAATGGCACCCCCAGATTGCTAGACTGCTGTTTATAGTGACTATAGTATGCTTTCATAATGCCTGGAGTGAGTAGGACGTTAGTCCTATAATCCTTAGGTTACTAGTACAACCATCAGATATATCTAAAATCGATCCTCTGGGTTTTGTGTATCAGATTATGCTTGATGGGAAATACAAAATCCAGAAAGCCCTATAACTTGATGCATTTGTTTCCAGATCTGTGTGAATTACTCTGTAAACTATAAGGAAACGGTATTCCTTATTTCAGCATGCAACCTGATAGCCTGTTTTCTACACATTGTTAGCAATTCCCATTTTTGTAGATGGCAGCCATGCTGCCTGAAGTAGAACTGAGAATTAGTTAGAATCAAACCTACGTTCTCTCCCAAAAGGCATCATTAGAACTGGAACACATGTCTGTGATAGTTCTCAGTCTTGACTTAGCCCCAACATTTCCCCACCCTCAGCAAGATGATCCTGAGCAAATCATAGGAAGTTATAAGCCACAGATAGTCTTACCATAAGGGTCAGAACATGGAAATACTGAAAAATTCCATAAAAGAGCACTACAACAATAAAGAAGTGGATGGATATGCTTAGCTTAGCTACCAGTGTTAAATACAAAACCCAACTTGATAACTAGGAATTTTCAAAAGTGAACTCTCCCTTTTATAAGTCTAAGATAAAATGCTTATTAAAGGATTTAAAATTCTCAGATTACAAACAAAATAGACTCAGAATTCCTATTAGGAAATTATAAAATGAGGCTTCTTTTGTTATGCTGTGACTCATTTTTTAGATATATGTATCATGTTAGTTTCACTTAACAAAAGTTTAAAAAGTGATTACCTAAATATAGGAAGGCCTTACACAGACAAGACAAACTTACTATTGATTAAATTAATTTGAACGAGTGAGAAGCAGGTTAAAAGATGCAATGGAAAAAAAGACCAAATTTGCAGTAACATCAAAATGATATGATACTGCAGAATAAACTTATCATGAAGTATGTAAAGTTTATATGAAGAAAATTTTTAAGTGCTATATAAGATACGAACATTGACAGAAATTAAAATGTCAATATTATTTAACTTAATATGTGCATTTAATTTGATCCAAAACACACATCAAACATAATTTTTCATAAAGTAGAAAAATTAATTCTAAAGTTTTTATGGAAAGCCACAAACAAATATATCCAGTGCAATCCTGAAAAAGAGACAAATGAAAGGGAACTAGCTTTAGCCACATGTCAAAACACCCCAACAATTAGCACTGTGGTACTAACATCTGAATATTGTAACAACCACAAAACAGACTTGAAAAATCAGTGCAAAGTCATGAGAAAATTGAACAGATGATAATTTAGGTGTATTCTTTTGTGAAGGAACATGGAATATTCAGTAAATGGTGTTTGAACTATAGGTAGCCAACTGAAAAAGAAAAGTTGAGGTCTCATTTGCAAGTAAATTTCCGATGGTTCAAAGATATAAACATGAAAAAATATACCGTAAAATTAAATAATAGGGGGCAGTTAAAAAAATAATATTGAAGTCGATAGAACTTTCCTAAGTATGACATAATGGAAATAAATAAAATATGTTTTGCTTTTTCTCTTTGTAGTTGACGCACAATGTTACATTAGTTTCAGTTATATAATATCATGATTTCTCAAGGGTTTTTGTTTTTTTTTTAAGATTTTATTTATTTATTTGAGAGCAAGAGAGAGCGCAAGAAGGGGAGGATCAGAGGGAGAAGCAGACTCCCTGCTGAGCAGAGAGTCCAATGCGGGGCTCAATCCCAGGACTCCAGGATCATGACCTGATCTGAAGTCAGTTGCTTAACCAACTGAGCCACTCAGGCATCCATGATTCTCAAGTCTATACACTGTGCTATACTCACCACAAGACTAGCAAGCATCTGTCACCATACATTGCTATTAAAATATCATGGACTATATTCCCTATGCTGTACCTTTAATTCCCTTGACTTATTCATTCCATAACTGGAAGCTTGTATCTCCCACTCTTCACCTATTTTGTCCAGTCCCCACCCCCTTCACTCTGGTAACTGTCAGTTTGTTTTCTGTATTTTACAGATCTGGTTCTGCTTTTTGTTTGTTTATTCATCTGTTTTTTTAGATTTTACTTAGGAGTGAAATAAAATCAAAACCTCCTTGAGATATTACCTCACACCTGTCAGAATGACTAGAATCAAAAAGACAAGAAATAACAAGCGTTGGCAAGGATGTAGAGAAAAAAGAACCCTCATACACTGTGGTGGGAATGTAAATTGCTACAACCATTATGGAAACAATATGGAGGTTCCTTAAAAAATTAAGAATAGAAACACCATATAATGCAATAATTCCACTTCAGAGTATTTACCCAAAGAAAACAAAAACACTAATTCAAAAAGAAATATGCCCCACTATGTTTCTTGCAGCGTAATTTACAATAGTAAAGATATGGAAGCAATCTAAGTGTCCATTGATAGATGAATGGTAAGGAAGTTGTGGTATACATATACAATGGCATATTACACAGCCATTAAAAAGGATGAAATATCACCATTTGAGACAACCTGGATGGACCTAGACAGTATTATGCTAAGTGAAATAAGTCAGACTGAGATAAAAGAAAATACTGATAAATTTGACTATCAGCTATCTAAGAAAAAAATGTTCTTCATTGAAAACCATAAGCATATATATTGGCTAATTGGATTTAAATAAAACAAAAAGTAAAAAAGAAAAACATGAGCAAAGTAAAAATACAAATGGCAAAATGAAGAATACATTTTAATATATATCAGAAAAAATGATATAATTTCTTTAAGCCATTTTCTTTTTCTCACAGCTTCTTTAAAGTAGTGAGGAAAAAAACAGCCATGTCCCCAAAATGGACAAATATGTTAGAAGAAATGAAATATATTCAACTTTGCTAATAATAAGAGATGTGCAAAATAAAGTTATGAGGCTCCTGTTTCATCTTTAAGATTAGCAAAGAAAAACACCTTTGGTCCTAGGTTGCCAAGGATTTGGAGAAATAGAAAATCTCCCATATTTTCTAGTAGGTGGAAATTGAAACAATTCTATATCAAAGTATTAAATGTACATACCTTTGATCCAGCAAGTTCAAATTTAGGAATTTAACTTATAATTGTCCATGTGCCAAATGTCATACATACTAGGGTATATGTTGTAGCACTTGTGTATGGCAAAAAAATCAGAAAAAAATACCTCTCTGTTGGGTACTGGCAATAGAAATCATGGAGCATTTGTACAAAAGAATATTCTAGAGTCACTTCAATGGAAGGGAAAACTCTATTTGTACTAATATGAGAAAATCTCCAGATTTAGCATAAAGTGAAAAAACAAAGATGCAGACAGTATATATAGTTGCTACAAGTAAATTTAAATATAATGAATAGATACATCTATTTTATCTGTCTCACAAAGAATACGGAATGGTCACAACTGAGGATGGACCTGGGTAGCTGACATGAGGCTTGAGAGATGGCCAACTTTACATCATATATCCTCTTCCATGCCTCTTCCATTTTATAGAGTATATATTTTTATGTATTTAGAAATGAAGATGAAATTACTAAAATTAAAACTAAAATAATAATAGAAATAGAATGGGAATAGAAAGAAAAAATAAAATAAAGAAATAGAAAGGGAAAAATTAATGACAGGATGGGAGCGTTTATGCTCCTTGAAATAACATACTCAATGCAATAGAAGTGCTGATTACAACAGGGAACTGGAAACCATAATATAATGCATCCTAATCTTGTTTTAATTATGACCTTTCAGTATTCCAGTTTCTAATTTTTTTCCTTTTTTTTTTCCAGAGGTATAGTTGACATATAACATTATATTAGTTTTGGGTTTACAATATAATGACTCAACTTTTGTATACACTGGGAAATGATCACCACAAGTCTAGTTACCATGCATCACCATGCAAATTTATAATTCTTTTCCTTGTGATGAAAACTTAAGATTACTCTCTTAGTAACTTTGAAATGTGTATTACAATACTGAGGGCCATTTGTATGTCTTCTTTGGAGAAGTATCTGTTCATGTCTTCTGCCCATTTCTTGACTGGGTTGTTTTTTCGGGTGTTGAGTTTGGTAAGTTCTTTATAGAGCTTGGATACCAGCCATTTATCTATTATGTCATTTGCAAATATCTTCTCCCATTCTGTAGGTTGGCTTTTAGTTTTGTTGACTGTTTCCTTTGCTGTAAAAAAGCTTTTTAGCTTGATGAAGTCCCAGTAGTTCATTTTTGCTTTTGTTTCCCTTGCCTTTAGAGCCACGTCTTGCAAGAAGTTGCTGCGGCCGAGGTCAAAGAAATGGCTGCCTGTGTTCTCCTCTAGGATTCTGATGGATTCCTGCTTCACATTTAGATGTTTCATCCACTTTGAGTTTATCTTTGTGTGTGATATAAGAGAATGGTTCAGTTTCATTCTTCTGCATATGACTCTCCAATTTTCCCAACACCATTTATTGAAGAGACTGTCTCTCTCCCATTGGATATTCTTTCCAATATGTTCATCTTTCCAAGATAGGTTGAACATAGAGTTGAGGGTCCATTTCTGGGTTCTCTATTTTGTTCCATTGACCTATGTGTCTGTTTTTGTGCCAGTACCATACTGTCTTGATGATTACAGCTTTGTAATACAGCTCGAAGTCCAGAACTGTGATGCCTCAAGCTGTGATTTTCTTTTTCAACATTCCTTTGGCTATTCAGGGTCTTTTCTGGTTCCATACAAATTTTAGGATTGTTCGTTCCAGCTCTGTGAAAAATGTTGATGGTATTTTGATAGGGATTGCATTGAATGTGTAGATTGTTCTGGGCAGCATAGACACTTTAACAGTTTTTATTAATAGAGACATGAAAAAATGCTCCACATCACTTGCCATCAGGGAAATACAAATCAAACCACAATGAGGTACCACCTTACACCAGTTAGAATGGCCAAAATTAACAGGACAGGAACAACAAATATTGGCGAGGCTGTGGAGAAAGGGAGACCCTCTTACAAATGTTGGTGGGAATGCAAGCTGGTACAGCCACTCTGGAAAACAGTAGGGAGTTTACTCAAGAAGTTAAAAATAGAGCTACCCTATAACCCAGCAATTGTGCTACTGTTTACCCCAAAGATACGGATATAGTGAAAAGAAGGGGCACATGCACCCCAATGTTCATAGCAGACGTGTCCACAATAGCCATACTGTGGAAGGAGCCAAGATGTCCTCCAGAAGATGAATGGATAAAGAAGGTGTGGTTCATATATACAATGGAATGCTATTCAGCCATCAGAAAGGATGAATACCCACTTTTTACATCGACATGGGTGGAACTGGAGAGCATTATGCTAAGTGAAATAAATTAGAGTAAAACAATTACATGGTCTTAGTCATATGTGGAATACAAGGAACAGCACAGAGGATCATAGGGGAAGGGAGGGAAAACTAAATGGGAGGAAATCAGAGAGAGAGACAAGCCATGAGAGACTCTTGACTCTGGGAAACAAACTGAGGGTTGTGGAAAGGGAGGTGGGTGGGGAAAGAGGTTACTGGGTGATGAGTATTAAGGAAGGCACATGATGTGATGAACACTGGGTGTTACATGCAACTAATGAATCATTGAACACTATATCAAAAACTAATGATGGGGGCACACCTGGGTGGCTCAGTAGGTTAAAGCCTCTGCCTTCGGCTCAGGTCATGATCCCAAGGTCCTGGGATCGAGCCCCGTATCAGGCTCTCTGCTCAGTGGGAAGCCTGCTTCCCCCTCTCTGCCTGCCTCTCTGCCTACTTGTGATCTCTCTTTCAAATAAATAAATAAAATCTTAAAAAAAAAACTAATGATGGGCTATATGTTGGCTAATTGAATTTAAATAAAATATTATTGATGATAGTCAACATGCTGTACATCTAATTATTTTTTAATATTCAGTCACTTGAAAAGTTGCTGAAATGCTCCAAGTTCCAACCCCATGCTTATAAAGGGGATGAATTAGAAGAAAATTGTTCTTCAGAATCAACTAGACTTTTCTGGAATTCCAGATTGTGTTTCTGGAAGAAAGATGAGGGGTTTTTCACATTAGTACATTTACTTGAACCTATTATATGGGAATCAGAGCAATCTCAATCTCTGAATGGTCTTCCTGAAAAAAGAATGGGCAAAGTCTAGGACTCCACCTGTCATCACCATCAGAGATGTGGCACAAACAAGGCTGTCTTAACCCATGTAACATTTTTTTTTTTCTTTTAGAGAGGGAGGATGAGGAGAGGGACAGAGGGAGAGAGAGGGCTCAGTCTCACAACCCTGAGATCATGACCTGAGCTGAAATCAAGAGTCAAATGCTTGACAAACTGAGCCGTCCAGATGCCCCGGTCTTACTGCACATAAGGGTGGATGATGGAAGAGAGGCACGTGGCCTGAACCTCTTTGGAGAATGAGCACAAAAGCTCACTGAGAGAATAGCTTGAAAGACACTTTTATCAGCTCATAAATATGTTATACTGACACTTTACTGTCCAAGTCTTATTGGAGACTCTTCCCTAAATATCCATCCTGCAAATTAAAATCCTCTGTAATTTCAGTTTTCCCTATAAGACCTATGTTTTTTGTGCAATAAGACGGAACTTAAGGTATACTTTCTCGTGATGCAATTTTCAAACCAGCTTGCATGCAAGGTTGCCACTTTCCAATGGCCATTTGCCACTTTCCAATGGTGCACGGGAGAAGAATGAGGCACAAACAAGCCCTCTTCAAAAGAATGGGAGCGTGGGTTGGCAGTTGAGAAGACTGCCGCCCGAGAGCTACTCCTCAGTCCCGTACTTACTAGATACAAGATAACAACCAACAAAGAAGTTGAAGGAGATTATAGATAAGCAAGATATGTCTGATCAAGCAGTATAGGATTTGTGGTTGAATGAACATGTTTAAAGGAATCATCTAATTAACTACAAGTGATCTCTGGAGAAGGGGAGATAACAGTAAAAAGAACAGGGGAGTTCCACCCTGAGCCGGCCAGGCGTTCCCAGCTGCTCGGCTTTGAGGACTAGATCATCCTCTCCCTTAGAGGTCTGTTGCTGGTACATGTTCAACCATGTTTGGTCAGTACATTGTCCTGAGGGACAGTTACACAAGCTGCCATGTGTATCACAGTCAAACCACGAAGCAAGTTCCATCATCTTACATTTTATGTAGTTCTGAATTTCTCTTCTCTTATTCTGTGTTTTTCAAAGCCCAGCAAATGCAAGGTGATTTTGGGTTTGGATTGTTTTTACTCTTATGTTACAGGGCTAAACGCTCCAGGTCTAGAATTCCCTAAACCTGTCCCTACACAGCTATTATTTTTTAAAACATTCAATTTTTAAATGAACAATTGCACTCACCACATTTCTGAACTAAAATTATTTCATGTTTGTACTTTTCTGTAAGGGCTGATACATTTGCTGTTTTGTGGTTTTTCACTGAACTTGGAGTAGAAGGATGTTAAAGAAGACTCTTCCTGCCTGAGAATTTCCACTGTACTTCAAAGATGAGTGCATCACGTGTCAAATAACCACAATTTCTAAAACAATGTTAACACCTCATTTTTTGGAGTTAAATTAACAAAACATGAAAAAAATCATCTCTATTAAATTCTCGTTAGCTTAAGTTTTAGAAACTTAAGTTTAAGAAACTATTTTAATCATTCTTTATCAGTAGTATACTCTTGTTACTTAGACTTACAGAATATGAAAAGTTATCTTTCCTTGCATCATTTACAAATAATGAAATCTGGAAGAAAGCCTCCAAATTTATTTTTTTCATTACTATGTAATAAAAACATCTTGCTAGAAATCCAAAAATAACTAGTGAGATTTAGACCCATCATCTCTAGCATTGTATCTTTATAGCTTCATAAATAAAATGAAAAATAACAAAAAGTGAGAGAGAAAAGAGATTCTTTGATCTGATTGATGAAGAAGGACCCTTTTTATTTGGGCTATAGTCATGTGCCCACCTTCCTCCTATAGCAGTGTCTTGTTTCAGAAAGTACAGGACCTCTATATTTAGCCTAGCTTGGGTTCAAGCCTTAAAATGGCCAAGTTTAATTTCAGGGCTCATAAAAATATCTGTCTCTGGATGCCTGGGTGGTTCAGTTAGTTAAATGTCCGACTCTTAATTTCGGTTCAGGTCCTGATCTCAGTGTTGTGAAATTGAGCCCTACCTCAGGATTCATGCTCAGTGGGGAGTCTACTTCTCTCCATCCCACTCTCTCTCTTAAAAAAAAAAAAGAAAATCTTTAAGATATATCTGCCTCCGATATTGTTGCATATATTTTATTGAATGTCTAAAATTAATTTTTGATTATTATGTTCATTTAGCCAACACAGAGTATATATCATTAGGTTTTGATGTAGGGTTCAATGATTCATTAGTTGTTGCATATATTTTTACAGTAATAACAGAAATCTCCGCTCTAAATATTAATAAGGTTTCATTATCAAAACTAGCTCATGAAAACCTTGTGAGATGTTAGATTTTTCTAGCTGCTCTTAAAGCTAGCAATGGTCATGTGGTTGTGTCTGCACATGAGATATAAGCAGCAATATGTTTATGTGATTTGAGAGTCTGGGCCATAGATTTATGCTCCTGTGCTCCACCAGTACATCTTTTCCCATCTACCAGATCAGACTTGGCAGCAGTAGAGCTTTGACCTTGCCAATAAATAGGCTTTCTTGGTGGATACAGAACAGCAAAATGGAAGGAACCTGAATCCCTCAACAACCTTGTGGAGCAAAGCTTCCACGCGTGCCTGGAATGGTAGAACAGTGATGTGTCTTCTAAGCTGTAGCTGCAACCTCTGAAGTGATCTCTATCTCCAGTATCCTTACTTAACTTTTCCTCTTCCTGCCATCAGAATGTGGAACTCAATACTATTCTGAGCATACCTAATAATATTCAAAGCCTATATCTGCCTTTGGAATAAATTCCATGACTCAGGTCTCAACTGATCTATCAACCTCATCCTTAATAAACCTATTGCTATAGTGAACTCCAGCTGATTCCTAGCATTTGCTCACTACCATTGTGTATTTGCTCATTCCCTTCCTTCAGTCTAAAATAGATTTCCTCTCAATTTCTCCTTGCTGCAATCTGAGTCCTCCTTCAAGATCCAGCAATAATGGCACTTCCTCTGTGAAGCCATCTAAAATCCTTCTGAATATAATTCATTGTTGCTTTTGTAGCCAACCAAATACTTTATTTTTTTTAAGATTTTTATTTATTTACTTGAGAGAGAGAGTGAGCAAGAGAGAGAGAGAACATGAGCAGGGGGGGGTGCAAAGGGAGAGGGAAAAGCAGACTCCCCGC